CAACTCCCAGAATTCCCCAGCCAGCATGGGAGGGAATTCTGGGAGTTGAAGTCCACACATCTTAAAGTTGCCAAGGTTGAGAAACACTGAACCAGAGGCTACAAAGCCACCTGTCAGAATGCTTTAATTTGGATCCCTGCCCTGAGCAGAAGATTGGCCTTGATGGCCTAAATGCCCCTTATGGGGTCCCTCCTAAGCAACTTTTTAGACTAACGAAGCTGCTTGGACAAGCAGCGAAACGTATCAAACCAAAAGAAAGGAAGTCCAATTGCCATGACTCAACCTCCAGATAACTCCACCTGGATGACTGAGAATCTTCATCAACATATGATTCCTGTAGATATAGGAATATCAGCATTCATCTAGTCGAATTACGTCTGATAATACAGAAGCTAAATACCTGCTGTCTTTATCTTGGGGGCTAATAACGCTTTTCCTTTTTGCTGCACAAAGGGAGACAAGTTGTAAAACAGGAAGAAAGTTCCAGAGTTATAGGCCTGCCGACAAGCATCATCATCTTCTTTCAGCTTGAACATGTATCTGTCATTGGGAAAGGATTAGAAGGAGCACCACACAATTAGTCCAAACCAAAAACACTTTCCCTGCATTCGCTCAGCCGATCCCTGAGCTAAACAATACAATCTAGTCCTGTTATGTCTGTTCAGAAGTGCAGCCTTGTTCACACAGCTGCTGGCTACGGCTGCCAAGCCCTCAGAGCAAGCATTCCTTGCTGTTCTCTGTATTTCCTTGGAATCCGACCACTGCTTTTTTCTAGCTGGCCAGTGTGGGAGTGCAAAGAAAATCACGGCAAAGCTCAAAAGCCTCTTGGCTTCAGGACAGAGAGAAGAATCCTGAGGAGTTTGTGACAAGATGAGGCAGGACTGTCCATCCTGCAGCTCAAGAAATGCTGCAAATTATCTTTGCAGTGTTTCTCTGGAGCAGCAGCTGAGTGGTGTGGGGCTGCCCCTGAAGACCATCCAGAAGCTTCAGTTGGTCCACAACCCAGCTCATTATGCCCACGTGACTCCACTACACTGCAAGCTATAGGCTTCTGGGTATGATGCAAGGTGCTGGATCCCCTTTAAAGTCCTACATGCCCTAGGACCAGGTTACTTGTGGGACTGCCTGCTCCCAAGAACATATGCTTCCCCCACACACTCCCATAAGGAGGGCATGCTCCAGGTTCCCTCCTTTAAATATTGCTGTCTTATGGCACCTAGGAAGTGTGCCTTCTCAGGCTTCCTCTTTGCAATGGTCTCCACCCTGATATATGATGAGCCCCAACTCTGCTTGCTTTTAGAAAACCCATTAAGATGTAGTTTTCCCCTGGGCATTTGGGTCCAGTTGAGTGGAGTCTCCTTTTGGTTGTCTAATTACCACATTTGTTCACCATTTTATATTTTATATACTGGATTGTTCTTTTTTAATGCTATATGGGGGGGGAGTGTTGGTTATTGCTTGTTTCTATTGTATGTCACTCATAGTCGCACTGAGATGGGCGGCTCTATAAATCCATTAAATAAACAAACGGACTTCAGCTTGCAAAGAGCTGCATAGGCTGCACAATGTTGTGGAGACACAGGAGGGCAGCACGGATTATAAATTGGCACAATCCTTGGGCACATGGAAGGGAATGACTAAGTTCAGTATGGCTTTATCTTCTGTATATAAATACAGGACTAAAGCCCAAAGCATTCTGTGATAGAATCTACTGCCGTACTCACAATAATGTAGGATAATTCTTAATTTTTCTCATTAGCTGATCTATTTTGAGAAGACTTGATTTAACCAGCCTATCTCAGATTACGTACCTCATTTTCCTGACATAAGTTGAATAAATCCGATAACATAGAGCTGATATTCTTCTATAGCCCACTTGACATACCAAACCTATTACCATCTTGCATGCCACAACTGGAAAAAAAACAACAAGATAGCTATAAAACAAGTTGTAAAATGCCAGTTTCCTAACCTGATTATGGAAGGAGCAAGCCATTTCATTCATTCATTCATTCATTCATGTGGGGGAGGAGGAGGAGAAGGAGGAGGGGAAATACTCCACGCCATTTGACATTAGAAGACCAGAAGAGTCTGCTAGCAATTGCTCACAGACACAGAAGCTCAAACTAACTGTTATTATATATTATTTTGCCTTCTGCTGTTATTTAGATTTTAAGCATTTTTCATTATTATTATTACTAGCTCCCCTATGAAGCTTTTAACGCCTGAAATATAGTAACAAAAACTAAATAGGAGCTTTCTGGATTCTCTCCCTGGAGGTTCTACATCTCTTTCCATTTACTATCAATAGTTTTACTTCCCATTTCCTGTTAAAAGTTTGAACGTTTCTATAAAACAAAACAAAAAATATTCCTGCCTCTATTGATTACACCAAACTGTCAGACCAGCAAAGCAATCCCAACCATTTTTATTCAGAATAAAACCGCAGTAAATGTAACGCAACATCTCCGGCTATGTCTTTAGGGCTGCAAAGTTTACAAGTGAAGAATGAATATATAATTAACTATTATAGCGTTCCTTTTTAGGTTGTTTTTTTTTTAACGAAACTGCTCTTCGGCGGGCTTCTAGAAGAGGCTATGAAGATAAACTAACGAAGCAAGCGACGAAGAGCCTTAATCTGTATGTAATACTGGAAGAGGGGGGCGCAGGCAGGGATCCTTAATTTGGAAGTAAGGGATATTCAACATATCAGTAACTCCCCAAACTTTAATCCGCGAAATGCAGAAAAGTTTGGCTCTGCTTTTAAAGGCAGAAAAACACCGAGACGCAGAATCGCGGCAGGATCAAAATGGTCAAGGCAGAGCTGAAAAGGGCAGGCGCGACCACTCCTTTGGCGCACTGATCTTATACCGACGATAGCCAGGTACGCCTTTCACTTACTAGCCTCCCAGATCGGACAGCTTCCGTCAGCAGGAAGTATCGCGCAGCAGTTCCGCCACGCGGGACATACTCCGCGGAGTTTCTAGGTTACGGCAAACCGCTTTGCCCAGAAAGCCTCGCCTCTGTACTCCCAAGACGCGTGAGCGTGCAGGACGTGTGTTTTAAACGCTGGAGGTGCGCGGAGCATTTGCACAAGATGAAATGCAAAAAAGCAGACGTTGATTCTGTGGGCTGGTTTCAAGACAGGCTGCTCAGGAGTATGAAAGCAAAGGGTGCTCCCACTTGTGATCGAGTCTTTTAATTAATTAATAAAAAGTATGACACCAAAACAAGCAGCCACTCGTTAACCCAACACCCCCACCCCCACCCCCTTCAGGCACCCTCGCTGATCTCTATAAATACCCACAGAAGGGTCCCATCACCCTGGGCACAGAGAGAACTGCTCCTGTCTGTGCTCCTGCA